TGATGCCATATTGGTCACTCACATTTGGTACATTGCCCTTCTCTTCACCCAAATCAATATTTATCTCTATCTATCTAACAATAAAAATTTTTAAAAAAACAAAAATTAAAGACCGCATCATCTCTGTGCCCCCAAATAGCTCACTTTTGCAGCTTTTCCCTTCCTAAACAGGAGCATAAAAAATACACCTAAATAGGGAACTGGTATTCATTCACCCAAATTCCTAAGCCTGTTATGGCTGATTCTGTCTTTCCTTTCTCAAACAGGATCATCTAGCGAGTTCCATCAATAACTCACACCCCCAGCAAATCTACTTGTAATTTTTAAATAAAGTTAAAATCATGACTCTCATACATATAGAAACAAGCATACAAAACAAGCACGTGTTAAAAGATTTTATTTAACGCATAAGGGGACCAGAGAAGGTAAATGAGAATTCTAAAAACAGATACATTTATAGATCAGGAACATTGAAATGATGTACAGATGGGAGACAAGCCTGGTTTTTCCACAGGGAAGGGAGGGCTGGCAACTGAACCTTTCTACTGGGCAGGATAGAATTTGCATTTCTATAGCAAAACTCTGGTAGCATAGTGGCTAAGGCACTTGACTGCTAACCAGAAGATGGGTCGCTATGAGTCAGGTCCGACTCGACAGCACATAACAACAGCAACAACAATGTAAGCAAAACTTAGGTTGCAGTTTACAGAGCTGTAACTCACTGCCAGTTGAACCAACTCATAGCGACCCCTCTTTGGGTTTCTGAGGAGGTATCAGTATAGAAGTAGACTGCCCAATCCAAACCAGGTAATTCAAAGGCACGTCTAGATAATGTTTAGTTTTCCACTGAGGCACCACTTCTTCCTACACTGCTCACACTGTTTCTCTACCCTTGACTCCAATCTCTACCAGTCATACTAAAACACAGGTTTTCCTTCCCCAAGCTTCTACAAAGAACATTGTTGACTCTACAGACTCCACACTAACAATAAACTTTTGTCCCTGTCTTTCAAAACGCTCTTTAATTCAGCATCACTCTCTTTATACAACCACCTTTTATTTCAGGCAGGTGTGGTCCCTCCACCCCAACCCAAGCCACCCCTCCTCCACCCCGCCCACACACTCCTCTGTATCCCACAGCTCTCGTCAATCATTGACAACTCTTCCCATTGTGCTGCCTCAGTTGATGAGTCTGTGTTTTTGCATTTAATATTTGAAGCCACAGAGGCACCTACTCTGTTCTTTAATTACCAAAGCCACATCCATTTGACCTTGATCATGCATTCATGCAAACAGTTTATGAGCACCCTATGAACCAGGCACCAGTACCAATCTACCTACCTGTCTGTCGACCAGTGTAGAGTCTAGATGTAGGCACTAGATACCCAGAGTTGGAAGCCCTGGCTATCAAGAGGTCTAGGGGAGTCAGACAATGAGCAGAGAGGTGATTTAGGCGTTGACATTTGCTTTGACACAGGCTGCTCTGGGAGCACATAACCTGGATGGAAAATGTCAACAAAGATTTCCTGGAGAAGTGGCATCAATCCAAAGGCTTGGTCAAGCAAAGAAGGAACAGAAAGAACCTGAATATATACATATATAACTGCATAAAGCACTCTTTTAAACTCTTTGTGCCCCATGTAAACTTAGGGTTTAATGGAGGGTAAATCATGCAGCCCAAAGTGGTCAATAATATGTTTGGTAAGAAGAAAGGTTATTTGCCCACCTCTGAAATGTATTTCTCCCTTATCTGATGGTGGTGGCTGTTGTGTGCGGTGGAGTCAATCTGGCCTCCAAGCAAGGCTTTGTGACAGAGCAGAACTGCCCAGTAGAGTTTCCTAGGCTGTCATCTTTACGGAAGCACATCACCAGCTCTTTTCTCCCACAGAGCCATGGGGTAGGTTCAAACTATCAACCTTTCAGTAACAACCTAGGGCTTAACCATTGCCTCACCAGGCCTCCTTTTTATCTGGTTCTTGTTTTTGTTCTCAGGTGCTGCCGAGTGGGTTCTGACTCATAGCAACCCTAGGTGTAACAGAACGAAGCACTGCCTGGCCCTGCGCTGGCCTCACGATCGTTGCTGTATTTGAGGCCATTGATGCAGCCACTGTGTCAATCCATCTTGTTGAGGGTCTTCCCCTTTTTTACTGACCCTCTAGTAGGCATTGTTCTGGTTCCCTAGTGCCGCTCTGACAAGAAATACACCACAGATGGGACGGCCTTAACAAACAGGAGTTTATTCTTACAATTTGGAGGCTTTAAGTCCAAGTTCAAAGTATCATGCTCTAGAAGCTGGATGAAAGCCCCTCAGCCTTGGGGTCCAGCTCTGCCTCCTGCTCCTGGCTCACTGGAGCTAGAGGCGTTTCTTCACTCAGACAGCTGCTGGCTGCTGAGGCTGCCAAGCCCAAGGTTGACAAGTAAAAAGGCACAGTCCTGATGTTACCACGCGGCAGGCCACCAGCTCAAGTCCATTGTACGTCCTCAGGTCGGCAGAGCATGGCAGGCTGCTGAACAGTGACACGGCTACATGCAGGGTTCAAGGTTCCATAAGCTCCAGACCATTCCCCAAGCCTGCTGCTTATACACAGGAAGCAGACCACATTCTCTACGGCAGCTACTCAGCTGCTCACAGTAGATTCCACCATGGAGTTGATTCCCAGTCTCATCATGGGGAATACTACATCCAGCTGCCCAACCACTGAACCAGGCCCAGCCAAGTTGACACACAAACATAACCACCACATGCATTATGTTCTTCTCCAGGGACCGGTCCTTCCTGATTAACATGTCCAAAGTATGTGAGACAAAGTCTCACTATTCTTGCTTCTAAGGAGCATTCTGGCTGCACTTTTTCCAAGACATATTTGTTCATTCTTTTGTCAGTCCAGGGTTAGGCAGGAGAAAATGTAAACAGTGTGGTTCTTCAAGGAAGAAAAAAGTAAATAAGGTTGCTCCAGGGCAAGTTATCCCCAGGCAGAGAAGCAGAGGCATAACATCGAGGGAACAGGCTCAGCGGAAGAGACAGTGACAAGTGTAACCTAAGCTCTGCAGCCTGCTAAGTGCTTCCAGCTCCGTCACCAACGAGGCTCACAGTGTCCCTGCTCTACCTACATACAGGTGGGCTGAGCAGGCTTTGTTGTTGTTAGGTGCCATTGAGGGGGTTCCAAATCATAGCAACCCCATGCACAACAGAACAAAACACTGCTTGGTCCTGCACCATCCTCAAAATCATTGCCATGCTTCAGCCCATCATGGCAACCGCTGTCCCAATCCATCTCGTTAAGGGTCTTCCCTTTTTCTGATGACCCTCTACTTTACAAAGCATGATATCCTTCTCCAGGGAGTGGTACCTCCTGACAGCATGACCAAAGTAGATGAGATGAAGTCTGGCCATTCTCGCTTCCAAGGAGCATGCTGGCTGTACCTCCTGCAAGACAGATTTGTTTGTTTGTCCTTCCGGCAGTGCATAGTATATTCACTATTCTTCACCAACATCACAATTCAAATGCATCTATTTTTCTGTGGTCTTCCTAGTTCACTATCCAGTTCTCACACACATATGAAGTATTGAAAGTACCATGGCTTGGGTCGGGCTCATCTTAGTCTTCAAAGTGACATCTTTGCTCTTTAACCCTTTAAAGAAGTCTTTTGCAGCAGATTTCTCAACTGCTGCTTCCATGGGCCTTGGGACAGGTTTTATAGTACCTCAGGTTTCAGGGAGAAAACTGCAGCTTGATCTCACTGGAGGAAGGAAAGAGCTATCGAGTGGACTCAAAGATTCCTCTCTGTTTACAGCAAATATAGATTAACTGTGGTGAGTTTTATGAGTTTACTATGTAAACAACCTAGAGTAGGAGGAAGCCTTCCAGGAAGCCGAGCAAATCTCTGTTCTGCCCATATTCAGCCCTCAGGGTAGCTATAGCCGTTATGAGTGAAGGAGACATTCATTGAAACCCAAGTGGAGGCTTTTGCTCAATTCATTTCACTGGGCTCACCCCCTCCCACCAAAATCAAAGCTCCAGCTCACTGGTATACCATTAATGGTGGGTTTTTTTTTAAATGTCACTGTACTTCCTTGAGCTTCCCTATATGCTCTGAGTGGCACTCAATTTGTACTTGCTTACGAAGAAAATTTCAAATCCATTTAAAAAACAGAAAAAAATATATACTGAAACACTGAGCACTATCGGCACAGTTCCTATTTATTTCCAGCATTGATCTAATTGCCTTCCAGTATTGTATGTAGCCTTGGAGTAAAAGGAATTCAACTTAAGGAATAAAATGAACTCAGTGGCAGTGTGTTCACTGTCCAGGATCCGCTGCAAAGCGCTGGCTCGAGAGCCCCGCCGGGCGCCCAGACGTCACAGCGCCACACCAACATCTGCTTCGGTGAGCTTCCCTCGCCCCACGTGGGATGTCCTA